AAAAAACACTCCATATCACCAAAAGACAGCATGCTATATCAGGCCAAATACGATTATCCTTATTTCGATTATCAGAAAACATTGTTTGATGGACCAGTTCTCTAGTAAACAACAAAAACAGCAGCATTAGCCAGTGGATCATTAGCTGAGCAGCTAACTACAGCTAAATCAACTTTAACAGATATTATCGGATACTTATAACCATAGAAAACATGTTTACATATCAATCCAGCACACCGTACCTCATGTGCCTATTTAGGCTAAAATCTTCTCTTCACCTGAAGCCTTGGAGTTTCACTCTCTTTTCTCAAGCTCTCAAAAAAACAGCATCAGGCCAGCGCATATGCGCATGCGCGAAGCGGTCTGACATATGTCGGGATTTGTAGTTTTTAGATCGCGCTTATTGACAGGAACTACACCGTAGATACCCAAGCGACGCTTTCTGTTTGTTCCTAGAAACTCACCGCATAAATGTCACTGTCTTTTACCGGTGTACACCGGATCCTGGTGGGCACTTTACTTCAGATTACATTTAAAACATTTCATAGCTCTTAAATGAGAAAAACATGGCTGTTTTCAGTATAAGAATCAATCATAGGAGGCGATATGTTATTCTGTTTTTAAGTCTTGCGTGCTTTATTATATACCGACACTTCAGTTAAGGCAAAACTTTGCACTTATCTTGTGTCTTTAAATGTCTTTAATATTTATCTTTAATAATAAAATTTTTATATTTGAAATCTTTTGCATGCAGCTGCACAGAATCAATGCATAAAAAATAAATGCGTAATTCACTAGTCATCTCAGCATAAGCAGGGCTGTTTAATTATTTGGTTACACTGTATTTAAACGTGTCCTTGTTCCAGTGCATTTGTATGTTTAAATAGGCTACTAAGTAATATTAAATATCAACATGTACTTGCTATAGGGTTAGGGTGAGTATTAGGGTTTGGTTTATGAGCAGTTGATGTAACTGTGCATACTTTACTGTTACTATAGAAAGTATGCCTAGTATAATAACACTGTCCGGACACTTCAAACACTGTGAAATAAAATGTAACCAATATTGTAGAAGTGTATTTACAGGGAACATTTAGTTTTCACCTTCTCGTTGTAATTGTGCTTCTATGTACAAAAAAAATCAACTTATTTTTCCCTTAAAATGATACATTTTCTCAGTTTAAACATTTTATGTGTCATCTATGTTGTATTCTGAATAAAATATTGACATTTGAAACTTCCACATCATTGCATTCTGTTTTTATTCACAATTTGTACAGTGTCCCAACTTTTTTGGAATCGGGTTTGTATGTATGTAAAGCTTTATTAAAATGGCAAAGTAATTCACTGTACTTTACGAATTCCAACTTTTATGTATGTATTTTTGTTAAATGCTTTGAGCATTAAAATGGCATTAGTCAGTTTCAAAATAACTAACTTTGTTTTATGAATTCCAAATTGAAAATGTTTATTTGTTTACGTTAAATGCTTTAATTGTTAACATGGCAATAATTGATTTCAAAGTTATTAACAGTGCTTCTTTACTAATTCAACTTTCAAGTATTTGTTTGTTAAATATTTTAATTATTAAAATGGCAATCAATCTCAAAATAGTTAATTGTGCATCTTTATTTTGAGTTAATAATTTACTAATGAATCAATAACTTCAAAATCAATAACTGTGCTTCTTAGGAAATTCCAACTTTAAAGTATTTGTTTGTTAAATGATTTAACTAGCGAAATGTTAAATTTCCTGGGGACTCTTTTTTTTTTCTTTTTTTTTCGTGTGTTTGTGTGTTTCTCTCGTGTGTCTAGTGGTCCGACGGGAAAGATAAGGATATATCGATCAATGGGTCTGAGAGTGAACTCTTCCCAATTCACCCTGGGAGGAAAGCCGTTTCGTATTCTGGGGGGCTCTTTACACTACTTCCACCTGCCCAGAGCTTACTGGAAGGACCGGATGGTGAAAATTAAAACCTGTGGTCTCAACACTCTCACCATGTAGGTTTGAAATGGACAATCACAGTTAATGATATTGAGAATCATTCAGTAATAAGACTGTGTTTATCTTGCAGTGACGTGCCATGGTCTCTCCATCAAGCAGAGAAAGGAGAGCTACATTTCCAGGGAGGTCTTGATATAGAGTAAGAAATCCTCCCTATCTTTTCCCTAATTCCCACATGTGAGAACATTAGCGCTATGCGTGATCTGTGTATTTTGATCCTGGAAGGATCTCGCCTCTATTTAATGCTTTGTTGGACTTTCACTTACAGTAGTTAGACAAACATCTCAGAGAGCTCCTGTTGCTGGTTCTCTGACAATACTGTCGGTCTGCTGTTGTCAGGAGGGACTTAATTCTGGTTCTTGTTTCATCCTGGTCTGCATCATTATCTGGGCTCTGCACAGCACTGGGGATACATCATTAATGTAGATCCTCGCTCTTACAACACAACCCTCCAACTGTAGAATCAGACTAATATCATTGCAAAATTGAAAGAACTTTTAAAATCAGAGTGATGCCTTGTAAAGCTGGAAATGGTGCGATTGTGTGAAATTAAAAGGTCATGTGATCAGGTGGCTACAGAAAACAATTGTTTAATGCTTTAATTATTAAATTACAATAATTAATTTAACAATTAATTGTGCTCCTAGCCAACACTTTTTCACACCACTGTATATATACTATACACACACACACACACACAAACAAAGAAAAACAAGTAGATAGAATAGAAAAAATAGAAAGCTAGTTTTGTTTTTTGTATTTTTTAAATAAAGAATAAAAAATAAATAAAAAAGGTAAATATAGATAAAGTAGAATTAAAATAGAATAGAAAGTGTTAGAGTTAGAGGGTCAAATAAAGGTGGAACAGATGTATTTTTAGTCGTTTCTTGAAGATGGTTAAGGACTCAGCTGCTCGGATTGAGTTAGGCAGGTTATTCCACCAGGAGGGAACAGTTAATGAAAAAGTCAGTGAAAGTGATTTTGTGCCTCTTTTAGATGGCACAATAATACGCCATTCACTTACAGAACGCAAGCTTCTAGAGGGCACATAACTCTGAAGTAATGAATTTAGGTAAATGGGTGCAGAGCCAGTGGTGGTTTTGTAGACAAACATTAATGCCTTGAATTTAATGCGAGCAGCTACTGGTAGCCAGTGCAAATTGATGAACAGAGGTGTGACATGTGTTCTTTTCGGCTCATTAAAGATTAATCTTGCAGCGGCATTTTGGATTAATTGTAGAGGTTTGATAGAAGTGGCTGAAAGACCTGCCAAGAGAGCATTGAAATAGTCCAGCCTGGACAGAACAAGAGCTTGAACAAGGAGTTGTGTTGCATGTTCTGAAAGAAAGGGTCTGATCTTCCTGATGTTGTATAAAGCAAATCTGCAGGACCGGGCAGTTTTAGCAATGTGGTCTGAGAAATTCATCTTATCGTCAATCACAACTCCAAGATTTCTAGCTGTTTTTGAAGGAGTTATGGTTGATGAGCCTAACTGGATGGTGAAATTTTGATAAAGTGATGGGTTTGTTGAAACCACAAGCAGTTCTGTCTTAGCCAGGTTGAGTTGAAGGTGATGGTCCGTCATCCAACAAGAAATGTCCATTTCTTGTACATGTACTGAATATTATGTCCCCATGCAGGGTTGGAGGAAGAGTGTAGTCTTCATTAATGGCCAAAACATCGGACGGTACTGGGATGCTGGACCACAGCAAGCTCTGTTTCTACCAGGACCCTTCTTCAACAGTAGAATGAACCAGGTCAGTTTATATACATTTCCTATATAAATGTATGTTATATACATTTTATATAAATGTCCTTGATACCTAAGAACTGTTTTTGGTTATGTGTTTGAAGAATTAGTGCAAATATCAATGTTGAACCAGTGGGTTGAATAGAAATCAGTGCTTGAACCCATGTAATATTATTTATAATCTTAATAAATTATTTGGAATTTTAGTGGTGAAATTTGTTTCCATGACAACAAATCAACACAGATTCTGACCATTAACAAATTAAGACAAATTCTGAAAGATCTGTTTTTCTTTTATTCAACAGGTGATTGTATTTGAAGAAGCAGAAGCAGATTTTAAAATCCAGTTTGAAGATTCTCCTGATCTGGGAATGACAGTTGACATTTAATGAACAAAATAATAAAATGTTTTATATAAAACAACATAAGGCTAAAGACACTGTACCATAAAATACATGAACAATATCAAAGTGCCTGAACAAAAAATGAAATGAACAAAAAGTACTGTTGGATTGTTAAACCAATAATAGCACATTTGTATTAATAGCATTGCCATGATATTTCTAAAAACATTTAAACATTCAACTTTTTTTTTTTTTTAAGTGCAGTCTTGCTGGGGACTGTGCGTAATTGTGTGTTAAATTTGTGTTCAATGGAATATGTTGAGCTTGTTGAGATGACTGACTATAACTCGCCTCTGGCTTGCTTAGTTGGGGACACTTCATTTCCAGCGTTATCGTTGACATAATTGCAAAGATATTATTTAAACTGAGCTGGATGTTGACATCACTGAATTCAATGATGAACTGTCTTTAACTGAAAAATGAGTGTTTACTATTGTCATTTTGCATTATTGACACTATTTTCCTAATTAATGCTGTTCAGTTGCTTTGTCACAATCTGTATTGTTAAAAGCGCTATATAAATAAAGGTGACTTGACTTGACTTAACTCAGTTTAGGGTATGTTTGAATGACAGCTTCCTTTGTCATTTGCTAGCAAGAAACTTTTTGATTGTCTGCGAACTTGCCGAAATTGGTTATATTAGTGCAATCTTTTGTTTATTTTTTATATGAAACCTCAAATGTTGCACTGGCCCTTTAAGCAACAGGAAGTCAATTTACTGTTGACTGTAGATCCAGCATTATCATGTTGGTTTCCCTTTTTGCAAACACTGAAAACATTTTTATATATTACTGAAACTGTATTTATGATTTGAGATTTGTTCAAATGAAACTTGTAGCATTGTTTGTGCTACAGACATACAGATACCTCATACTATACAGTTTAATTGAAGAAGGGTGTGCCAATATCTTTTTAAACAATCAGACTTTTGCTTAAACTTCATCTGGCAGACAATAAAACAGGTTTAAAAAAATCCAACCTAAACCATATCTATGGTCAGAACATGATTGTGTGATTGTGAAAACACAAATCACAGGTCATACGATGTTGCTAAAAATAACATAATCTAAAAAATTTGATAAAATCTGGGGCCCCTTCCTTAGGTATCTTTTTAAGAGTTGAATGGATAGCTTCTCTGTTTTATTCCTTCACTCCATCTTTAACGTTTTGTTTGTTTGATTACGTATGTCTTTGTTTAAGGTGTATATTTTTAATTGTATCTGGTGCCTGTTCGTGGGGGTAGGTGGGGGGTCTCTTGTTTTTTGTTTCCTTTTTTTGAGTTTGTGTATAGTATATTTTTTGTATACATTTTGTAAGACTTTTATTTGTTTTATGTTTATATAAAAACTGTTATAAATAAAATTATTAAAAAAAAACATGCATCGACTCATCAAGACTGCAAACCGGGGCCAAAATCTGGGCAAAATTCCTGTAGTGTATTCCAGCCTAAGTCATTTATACTTTAGTGTGTCTCCGATAGTTTACATTCAGTGCAATAAACAATACGTTTTATTACTTCTGTTCCAGGGTTTAAAAACATCATGAAAGTAGTTCATCATACTTCCATGCTGCCACTCGTGAATCCCTTTTTTCCTTCATTTACAAGCAAGGGTCTTTCTGTCCGGGTATGCCAAACCAGTATCTGAAAAAGACGAAGAACACATTTTTCTGTTTACTTTGACAAGCCTTTTCATTTCCAGCCAGGTTATGAAGATTCAGATTCACGACTGACCTTTGTGCAGTTGGCGGCTTTGGGTTCCAGGTCACTGAGGGTGACCAGGCCCTGTAGCAGACTACTTTCCTGGTATCCACCTTTAACCCCTTTTAACTTAAAGCAGGCTTGAGGTTTGCTGAGGATGAGCTGAAGGTTCACGGCAAACCCGGCCATGTCAATGGCAAAAGGTCGTCGAGGGTCAAACACCGTCTTCCAGCCGAACACTTTGCCTTGAGAGTTGATTTTGGGCGATTCATACAAGAGACCTCCAGTGAAGGCGACAGGCCAGACTGACACTTTAAGAGTCCAACGCATCTGCGGTATGAGGAAGAATGAATCGGTTAATGGTAAGGACATTATGAATGGTGGACCAAATGGACCATACCTCCTCAAACAGCTCCAAGCTGTAAGTATTATCATCATCTGCAAAATACACGACTCCTTTATGACTGGAGTTTGGATTGATGTGTTCCCTGAGCCAGCGCAGAGCCAGGTTCCTCTGCATGGTGCCTCGTGGGAAACGTACATTTCTGGGCTTCTTTTGTGTCTTGAGATTCTCAGGCGTCTCTACGTTCAAGTGGGTGTAATTCAGTCCCGTGTTCTCTAGCAATCTGGACACCAGCGCTGTCCTCTGCACTGAGTCCTCCACCACCAGCCAATGAAGGTTGGGGACGTGCAGGAGGGTGTTAGTGAGCCGGGTCAACTCAGCCTTCTGGACGGGTCTACCGTACGTTGGCGTTATTACGTGAAGAGTTGGCAATGTGTCAGACCAGGGTGGAGGGCGCTGGTGGACATACTTCATCCCTGTAAAAAATTATATGATGAAAAAGCCATGACAACTTATGTTTTTAAGTTACTTTAACTCATAAAAATTATTTAAGCAATTTCAACTTTTTTAATAAGTTATACTAGATTCAACTTGATTTTTTAAATCAGTTTAATGTTACTGAAATTCAAAGAGCCCAATTTAGTTCAGTGAATTTAACATTTTAAGTTGTCTTTTTGGTACGAACCGGCCAAATCTCTGAACATGGATTCATGAGCAGGAGTCAAATTTGTACATGAAAAAATATATATTCAGCAAATCTAGACATAGACTCATGTTTGAAACGTGAGATATCGGAGTGCAACATTAAACAAGGAGACACAGGCAGACTATACAGCGAACTAACTAAATCGCGGATGAATTTCAGACGAACAACTCATGAACTTGAGGAAGCTAGCCTGTCCGTTGGGCTGCCGCGAAGAAGCATATTCAACATGGATGAGGGAATGCTTGTGTAACATCATTTTTGGGAGATTATTGTTCATTTTAGCAGAATATAGCAGAATTAGTTATGTTCTGTCATTGTTTTCGAGTTACCTTTCAAGTTTTGAGCTTGTTCATGCTACAATGTTAACTCTAGCGTGAACACAACATACATGCGTCTTGATACTCTTATGAGCGTGTGTGGCAGATCAATATTTTTAGAAAATAAAGCGGTAAAATTTGTTTTTTGCACAAACAAAGCATGTGCATTGCTTCATAAAATTGAGGTTAAACCACAGGAGTCACATGGATTACTTTAATGATGTCTTTCCTACCGTTCTGGACCTTGAATGTTTTAGTTGCGTTGCTGCCAATGGGGGAACAAAAAGCCCTCGGATTTCATCAAAAATATTTTTGCTTGTGTACTGAAGATGAACAAAGGTCTTACAGGTGTGGAACAACATGAGAGTGAGTAATTAATGACAGAATTTTCATTTATGGGTGAACTATCCGTTTAACAGGCCAAACCACACTGACCAGTGGATCTGCATCTCCAATCACAGAGAAAGCGTTTCCTCGCTCCTACATCTTCCACCCTTGCTTGTGTTCCTTGCTTGTGTACTGAAGATGAACAAAAGTCTTATGGGTTTGAAATTATATGAGGGTGAGTAATTGATGACAGAATTTTCATTTTTGGTTGAATAAACCCTTTATGACATTGTATATGTATTTACAGTTTTTGTTTTGTCTGTTGCCACCTCATCTAAAGCCTCTTTGGTGAGCTTTACTGGCCCCAGTTCTGTTATCTGTCCATCAAAAAAATATATTTTTGCAAGAGTTTAGAGTAGGGACAAACAAAATATCAGTACCATATTGATTTTTGTGCATATTGGATATTAATAAAGAAGACCCCAGATAAAAAGGGAGTAAGCCGGAGGAAGAGAGAGAGGATAGTAATAAAGAACTGTAAGAGTATTGTTTTTTTTTTATTTTGTGGCTCATCCAGTGTCATAGTACACATAATTTGCCATTCTTGCACAATAGTGGAGTTTTATACTGAAGTGCAAAGCACGTGAGTGCACTATATCAAGAAGTGAACAAAATTGTGAGTGTGATGTACTTTAAAGTGCATACTTGCAAATTCCAAAATTATATAAAAAACATGTTTCATAAAATTATATATTGCACTAATGTTTGTGAGCTAATCTTTTAAATGTGAGTGCATAGCTACAACTGTACCAAGAATATCACCCATAAAAACATTTATTGAATGGAGATGGTGATCAGATACATTCTTTTTGGGAGAATTTAAGTTGTTATTTATCTCCTTTTATAAAATGTAATTTAGACTTGAGAGGCAGTGAAAGTGTAGGTCTCATTTCTTGGTTTCATGTTGAAAAGGTGTTTGTGGTGAATGTTTAGATCTGGTGACATTCTTTAGCCCACAAGCAGCAACATCATGGCCTGTTGTGGGAAAATACTCACCCTCATATGAAAGTTGATGTATTTCACATATTTCCAATATTTGTATGGGACGTACATGTTTAAAAAGTTGTTAAGTATTAGCTTATCATTTTTATGTTGAAATTTTATGCATTCAATTTTTACGTTTTTCATAATCTGCCTGTAAAAGTTTGTATCTCGGGATACGTCGCCCTTTTAGGGGTATATCAAGATATTTTTTACAATATAGACTGGTATAGACTTTAGACTTTAGCCTATTTCACAAAATCAGTTCGATACTTCAAACTCTTAAATGATAATTTATTGTCAATCATTTAGTTAGCAATAATGAATTTATTTTTACGTCCACAATACATGGATTTTTTTTCAGGCATGTGTATATACGCACACGTATGTACATGTACATGTATGAAATAAGATACTCAACAAAAGCACATATGCAAACTTATGTAAGAAATTTACAAAATATAGTTTGCATATGGGTTTTTATTTAGTATTGTATTTCATACATTAGATTTGTATGACTCATATTTGCAATTTCAGTGATTATTGAGAAATAGACAAATAAACCTTCCTCAAAAGCCTGTTGTGTCATATTTGACATTTACTTTTTAAAATGAAAAAAAAAAATGCAAACATTTTTTAACATAAAAAATATATATATATATACATAATCAAGAAAATCCAAGCTGGTTCAGCCCAGTACATGTACATCTTAAATTATTACTAATAATATCAAAGTTATTCTTTCATTTACATTATAAAAATCATGAAAGATTTCACAGCAAAAATACTTTACTTAAAAGAACAAAACCATAAACTATCAATCAGGGGGTGGAAGGTACGACGTAGATTGTGTACAACAGGTTTATCAGCACAGTTTTGATCATGTTCATAATTTATAGGCCCAAGAAATTTGCATATCAAATATGATACAGAGGGCACTCCACCCCTGACTCTTGCCACTCTCACAGACTACATTTCCCATAATCCTTTACCGGACTCTTCACTGATTGCCTTCACCTGTGTCTTGTTACCTCATCAGTCTCACCCTATTTAAAGCCTGGTTTGTCACTCACACTCTGCTCAGTATTGTTAGCCTGTAGTATTCCTGTGTCTTTCTGTGTTTCCTAGTTCCTTGTTTCCTAGTTCTAGTGATGGGAAACCGAGGCTTTCATGAAATTGTGCCGAAAAATGGTTCATTACTTGAAGCTTTTTAACACCGTGCACATTAGCGACATCTGGTGGTCAGACTCGGTTTCTCCAGCCTATGTAACGAAACATCGCGGAGCAGAAGATGGTTTGAAAAAGTTTTTAATCTGCCAATTCGTGTCATGCGTAGTCCGGTCAGTGGATTCACATATTGATCAATGATATAAAATATACACGTGTGTGATTATAATTAATAAACTGACGTGAGTAGTAGAAAAAATATTTTGGGTGAGCTGTTCGGGGTCTCTGAGACCCCAGCTAGAACATGATAAAATGCAATAAAGTGTGATGTGCATTCAGTTTCTGTCTGGTGTTGAGGTTATTCTAAACTATTCTATTGAATCCCAAATAAGTACACACACACACACAACCAAGTCAATGTAAAGTCAAACACACGAGACATGCGAAGTGCCGATTTTTTTCAAACCAGCTGTCCCAACCTTCTGTTATGGCATGACGTTCGAAGCTTCAAACGTCATCAATCACGTGGTATTGTCAATCTTGATACAAGCATCGGCACAGTGTGTGATACAATAGTGCTTTGAAAACTGCGTCGGAGCCTCGGTATCAATCGTCCCATCACTACCTAGTTCATTGTTTTCCTGCCTTGTCTCTTGACCTTGGACTGTTCCTTGTTCTCTGATTGTTTGCTGCCTGCCCTGACCATCGCCTGTTATTGGATTACTCTTTTGTCTCGCCCTGGATTATACCTGTTTGCTGTTGCTTGACCCTGCCTGTTTTGACCACGATTCTAATAACGCCTGCACTTGAATCCACTACTGCGTTGTCACGCCTCCACGTTACAGAATACTGAGCCATAACCGGATCCAGCGGCTTTATCTAGCGTCCCAGGCTTATCATGGACACAAACATCAAGTTAGGACATCAGGGAAAACATCAGGGAACGCGTTCACTCGAGGACCGTATTTAAGATTTTCTGAACATTCTCTCTGATCTCCCGGACTCTATGCACCTCACACCAAGCTCCGGTGGCCGCGTGGCCAGTGATTATGGTCGCCACTCCTGTGCTCTCAGCACTCCCCAGTCCATCACACCAGAGCCTCTACACAAGAGTCAACCCAGAGTCTTGTCCCGTCATGGCCACCGTTCCAGAGTCTCGCCCCGTCATGGCTGCCGTTTCAGAGTCTCGTCCCGTCATGGCCGCCGTTCCAGAGTTTCTTCAAGTCATGTAGACCATGCAAAGTGCCTTAAGGTCAGTCCCAAGGCGTCCTAGACTGGCCTCCAGTGTGGAGGATCCACTGCTGGTTTCGGCCAGAGCAGCAGGCATCCCAAGGGCCTCAGCACTGGTCTTAAATAGGAGCGCAATAATTCTGACTAAAATATAAATTTTGCTGAAATATTTGTAACCCTGGACAACAAAACCAGTCATAAGGGTCAATTTTTCAATGGTCTGAAAGCTGAATAGATAAGCTTTCCTTTGATGTATGGTTTGTTAGGATAGGACAATATTTGGCTGAGATACAACTATAAGGATCCACCCGCCAGCCCAAAAAGCGGAATCCAGCAGCCTGGTCGAAGGTTTAATGCGTATCCGGTCTTTTACTTGCGCTTCTGAATTTATCAGGACTTAGTTTCAATTTTGTCTAGCTCCGTGTTCAATCTGACTCCAATTTCACGTGATCAGTTTTTAATTAGAAATATTGCTTTGAAATATTGCCTAACTTTAATGATCACAAATATTAATTTAGATATTCGATTATTCCTGACTCACTATACTTTCACTTATCCATTCACTGGGGACCTAATGTCTCTTTTAAGTCTCACGCTGGCCTTACGTGGATCTTACGATCACAAACTCGCCAGTCTGATGCTAGTCAGAGGGTGTAGGTAGACTAATACCTATTTTGCCTGCCGCCTACTGCTTGCTTATTACAAAAAGTGTAATTCACTTAGTCCTTTCCCGTACAACTTGCTAACATCGGCGATAGACAGAAATCAGAAGGTCTCCGATGACGTGCCTACTGCTCCTATCATTCACAAGCCTTCAGTTTGACCTATCCTTGCCATAGATTTGCGGTAACAAAAGCCTCCTCACAGTTTACTAGTCATAATGATTTTAGGAGAGTTCAGAATAAATCAAATATAACCATTTATTATTAGTCAGGTAAATATGTATTATGCCAATTACATAGGCAATTCAAAGATATCAAATCAATACAAGACATCAAATTCTCAAAGACAAATCTAAGAGTAAGATACATACCTGACTTTTAGAAAAATACATAGTGTGAATTGCGTGGACACCTTCACACTACGGGCTTTCTGGCTACAGAATCGCCAAGACTGATTTGCAACATTCCCTTAAATACTACCAGAACAAAAACAAAGAAATATTTAAATCAGTTGTAAAAACAAAAAAGACCTTTTGGTCTTTTAGGTTCCCGTGCTCCAGGGTTGCACCTGGCTGGAGGTAGATAAACATTCCCACAGGCCTAAAGGGGGACACACCCCCTCCTCAGCAGAACATAATTCTGCAAAGGTTTTGAATCTTTCTCATAATATAAATGACTACTGTGAAATTGAAACCAATTTACCAATCGCACAAAGACCTTTAAAATGACACCAAACATGAAAAGTTTACGATCATGAATCCTGAAGATATAGTAAATGTTTTATGTGAGCATAGCAACTTGAGTTCTTGGCATTTCTCTGTCAACCTTTAGTGACCTGGACCATGTGCCCTGGGGGGAAGGATGGGTGACGGGACTGAAGAGTAGATGGTCTTTCTTCCAGATCTTCCTATCTTGATCAAAGCCCGTTGTTTCTGAGTGTTTGGCTTTACGAGGAGATCAAAGCCCAGTGTTTTGTGGCATGGCATTTGCATTGCGAGAGTGTTTGGCTTCACGAATAATTTATTTTATAAGGAAATAATTTCACTCCTTTCACAACTATTTGAAAATCTGGAATCTGAGGGTGCAAAAAAAACTAAATATTGAGAAAAGCGCCTTTAAAGTTGTCCAAAAGAAGTTCTTAGCAATGCATATTACTAATCAAAAATTAAGTTTAACTACGGTAAAAAAATTACAAAATATCTTCATGGAACATGATCTTTACTTAATATCCAAATGATTTTTGGCATAAAAGAAAAATCAATAATTTTGACCCATACAATGTATTTTTGGCTATTGCTACAAATATACACCAGCGACTTAAGACTGGCTTTGTCGTCCAGGGTCACATTTGTAGTTGGACAATAAATGTCACATGTAGAATTTTAAACCTACAAGTCTATTTTTATGATAGCACTGACTGTAAAGTGACTGTATTGGGGTAATCAAATTCAAAATAGCCTAACACAACTGTGCTTTTGTTCTCATTTATTTAAATTTTTACGTTTAGTGAATTTAACTTCCACTTTAAAAGCCTTATTTTTGTTTTTAGATTGCAATGTTACAATGTTAGAATGAAATGTGGTTTTAACACTTTTTTGCACATTATATAAATGCTTACATGGTTACATTCACTTTATTTGTTTTCATAGCCTTTGCTTTAATATGTATTGTTTTGTTGGACAACATTGGGCGGTAAGTGAAATATGTATATTTATGTATTATAATTTTTTAAATACAACTACAAAAACGAAAAAAAAAAAAAAGTGATATACCGTATATCGCAAATCGGCCAAAAAATACAGAGATATGAATTTTTGCCCATATTGCCCAGCCCTATTTGACCCTGCCTGTTTTGACGACGATTCTAATGAAGCCTGCACTTGGATCCACTACTGCGTTGTCACGCCTCCACGTTACAGTAAGCTACTATATTCATAAATAGATTATAATCATTGTTTAACACACTATTACAACAAATGTTTACTGTAAGTTACAAGATTATTATTATTATTATTTTTTTTAAATGCAGCTTAAATGTTGTAGCATGCATTGTCAAACAAGTATTCTGTTATCAATCAATTTAAACCTGGGGCATACAAACATAAAAATCCAAAATGTCCTAATAAGATGGGAAATAGCAATAAATTAATTTCCTGATGTCTCTTTATGGTCTTGCCCTTTTTAGGGTTAATTTCTTAGTTTTGCATTGCAAATTTCTCATTCACAAGAACTTATTTCTCAACACACTGCCTAGATTTAATGTCTTTCTTGCTGAAAATTCAAACACGAAAAATCGCTTAAATTCATAAATAGAAAGAATAATGCATTTCTTAGGAATTCTGATATCTTATTTTTACATATTGAGCTTTCCTTCGTTTACCTTTTTGTATTTTCTTTCCTTTCTCTTTATATTCCTCATATTTCAAATAGCCACAGTACTGTTTCTTCTTTGCAACTTTGCAATGAAACATATGCAGCTTATATCAATCACAAAGCCATGCCACCATGTCGCAACCAGATAAGCAACTGGATGTGCCACAACATCTAACAACATGGGCCAGTGGCACCAAAAAGATGGCATTTCACTAGACGCGTACATTCTCCTGTAGCATTTAAAAGTTAAGAATGATGTTAGTATTTACCTTTAGGAACTGGAATCAACGGGTAGCCAGCACGCTGGTGCCAAAATGTGATCAGTAAAGTCCACTGTAATAAAATAAAAAAGAGTGCTAAGATGTCCCTTCTTTTCAGCATGTCTTATCTGTGAAAAAAAAAAAAAGTAAAATGTTTTACATTTCAATGAACACTGGTAAAATGAAGCGTTTTACTAGCGGCTTAATTAACTCGCTCAAAGATATATAAGATCAATCAGATGAAGAAAATGCATAAACGTATTACAACGTATCTACACAAAGTGATGCGAATGTGCAAGTGAACTTTAACCTAGATATTAAAATCCTCATTCCCTTGTAAAACATTAACAATGATTAACTAATAAATCATAAAATACTCCACAATATTGTACTGCAATAGTAGGCCTACTCATTTAATAATAATTCTATTTTTTCAGGAGATCGGGTTTTCAAAGAGGTTTTTTTTCATACATGCAAAATAATATGTGTGAATACTCTGTTAAATTGTAGTTTAGTTTTAATTCTGGTAAACTAAAATGGCGTTGAGTAATATTCAGTGGCATTTTAGTAAGAGTAAAAATGACTAAAATTAATAAACATGACATGATGAAAATATTTAAAGGATATTTTCAAACGCTATGACTAAAAACAATGTGAAAATTAACACTAGAACTGGTCTGAGGGTCTAGGTTTTAATTTGATATTATATATTTAGATAATTTAACTTTAATTAAAAAATGTATACACTTTGTTAAAAGACAGTTTTGTGTATATATGTATAGCCTAACAAGGTGCTGTTTGTTTTGTATTTATTCGTTGCACCCTCTTCTGGACTGTTGATTGAAAAAACTGGTGTACCCTGAAATAATATGTCTGTAGAATTCAAATATAATTCGGAATTTCAAAATACTTCATTTTAAAAAATCTATTTTTTTTTTTTTTATTCCTGTTGAAAGCCTTACAGCCCTTTCCTTTACAGTGGTGCACATTCACCCCTAGAATAGTTTACCAAAATGTTTAATATATGTTTAGGACTACACTACAACAACTACAACGTAGTTGAACTCATTTATTTTGATTTAGTTGATTATTTTCACGCATTATATTTAAATATAGGCTTATATTATTTATTTCATTTATCTTACTCTTTTATATTTATAATTTTTATTTGTTTTTCAGTTGAATATTTAAAGTTCAAAGAAATCCAGTTAAAAAGACAAGTTTTTTTTTTTTTTAAGTTGCAGCATGATTTATAGCATTTGAACTAAGATGAACTAAGTCAGGCTCTTCTTGAAAAAGTGTCTGAAAAAAATTAGATTCTCTGCAGCTCCTTTTCCCAAGAAAATAGGTCAGCATACGCTTTAAAAGGATAGTCTACCCATAAAATAAAATTCTGTATTTTATATTCCACAGAAGAAGAAGAAGAAATACTCATGTTAAATGTGCTCACCTGTGTATATCCCTCTCTCATCATAACCCTGCAGCAGTCAATGTCTGCATAACTCCATCAGGATCTGCCATAATTGAGACACATAATCACATTTAGATTCAGATATCATGAACAGTAATCATTTCATGTGAAATTTCAAATATTGAAAAATAACTACTGAAATATTTTGCAGTGGTTCTCAATTCCAGTCCTCGCGTACCACCGCTCTGCATATTTTGCATATATCTCTTATTTAACATACCTGGGCCTGTATTCACAAAACATCTTAAAGGTGCTGTATGTAGGATTGACACCGAGTGGTTGAACTAGGTATTGCAGTCCAAATTAAAAATATTGGAAAGGGTTTTTTCACCGGGGCCCGGCCCCCTCCTCCTCAGACTTGACACACACGCAGGTTGCCAGATAAATAATAATAATGATAATAATGTTATATATATAATAACATCACAATCAAATGAAGGGATTTGTGGAAACTGTGGTTCCTAATTATTGTGATCCAACATTTGCCTCGCATTTCAGGATGAAAAGACAAACATTTCAGGTGAAGGATAATCCACTTCTTACCTCCGAGACTGTGTTATGATCTATACGACCTTATTTTTATTGTGAGTATTAGGCTTATCATTATTGCTGATCACTGTTGTTGTGCTATGTTATTGTAATATTTACCATTATATCATCAGAGGAGTATAGAAAAGTTTATGAAATTGTCACTCCATAATACAATTGCAAAATATATAAATATGTATAGTATTTTTGTTACATTAATCAGTGTCTAGCACACCTTCCTAAGGAAAGGATATGGACCAGAAGACATTGCAATTACTAAATGATATTTAGACAGACTTAAAGAAGTTCCAGATCTATACTTGTGCTCTTATTATTTCAGTTATTTTGCCTTTAATGTAAATAAACATGTGCAAACAATATACTTGCTCTTGTGAATTTAGGATGTTAATTACATTGTGCCAGCTGTCTCTTTAATACCGCGTGGTTTATATACATGTTGCTGCTGATTGGGCTGACATTTTTGACACACCCTCCAAACAAGAGAAAATGTATCTCAAACCCCGTTGCACACCGTTTCCAGGAAACATGTCGTTAAAACCGGAAACCGTAGCAAAACGGTGCACACCGGTTTGAGCTTGAACTTGCCCCTGACTTCTGGAAGTGGAACAGATACCTATGAGATCAAAGGCGGATATCGCGTTATTCTCAGTCACGTGCTGTGTTAAACATGATATAATTTCAGTTATGTTTCTTTTACATGAAAATAAATATGATGAACAAGACACTTAAAGTGCTTGCTATTTAATTCCATACGAAAGGCGTATTTATACAAACATGTATTTTAGATTTTTATAGAAATATGACAACAATCACATATCTCACACAGAGATCGCACTGCTTATAGTGTTTGGGAATATTAACGCATAATTTAAATACATAATCACATGAAATCATATCATCAATTTTAGAAGAGAACACAGCATCACGGTTGTCTGAACCAATGAGCATTATTCTGTAGAAATATGACAACAATCACATATCTCACACAGAGATCGCACTGCTTATAGTGTTTGGGAATATTAACGCATAATTTAAATACATAATCACATGAAATCATATCATCAATTTTAGAAGAGAACACAGCATCACGGTTGTCTGAACCAATGAGCATTATTCTGAGTCGTTTCCCATCATGCTTTTGATCAGAGCAGTCGGTGGAGAGCAACTGCGCTCGACTGCACAATCCGACACAGCCGCCTCGCCGGAGAAGTATGGCAAGCCATTTTAGTTTAAAATAATCCCAGTGTTACTCGTTGTAATTGCATTTTTACTAGTAACAATTCAATTAGCGAGCTCTCTAATTCAGTTCTTACTAGTAACAATTATGATTAGAGAACTCTCTAATTCAATTATTACTAGTAAGAATTCCAATTACAGAGCTCTCTAATTCAATTGTTACTAGTAAAAATTGCATTAAAGAGCTTTGTAATTGTAATTGTTACTAGTCAGAATTTAACTGTAGAGCTCTCTAATTTAATTCTTCCGGACTCCTGGGTGACAGACCAGCCTGGATGAGTGACCCCACTGGATTACTTCCGATTGTAGTTTGGTTGGAACAAATAGACTGCCCGCCGGAACCCCCCTTGGCACTGGGTTTTTAAGTAAAGCCTCCTCTACTCGTCTTTCGATGCCCCAGGAGAGGGATCCCACCACCACCTCCTTGGGCAAAATGGTGTCAACTGATTCCTCATCCCCAGGGGCCTCGAACAGACGAGAAAGTGCATCGGGCTTGACGTTTTTGGACCCGGGCCTGAAAGACAGGGTGAAATTGAATCGGCCAAAGAAGAGGGCCCAGCGAGCCTGTCGGGAGCTCAGCCTCCTGGCTGAACGGACATATTCGAGTTTGGCACAAACGCGATTCATTCACTTGGTGAGCATAACCGGTTTTACAGCTCTGTGACACAACCCGTCAAAAGGCTTTTATAAATGCCACAGAATAAGCTTTAAAAGTTCTCAGAGGTGCAACAGCGCGTTCATATATATGTTTTCGATGTAGAGTGCAAATGGCTGTGCATTTATTTGTGTTTTAACTCGATGTGGGCGAAGAGTCTCCCCTCTTCCCCCTCCTCCGCTCCGCTCCGCACCACGCCCACTTTTTTAGCATTTTTAAAACTGGTGAGAACTAACCAGTGCTGAAACAGGGGGTTTCATGACCCTTTAAAGGAGTCATATGATGCTGCTAAAAATAACATTATTTTGTGTATTTGGTGTAATGAAATGTGTTTATGCGGTTTAAGGTTCAAAAAACACATTATTTTCCACATACTGTACATTATTGTTTCTCCTCTATGCCTTTATTCCTCTTTATTTCTGAAACGCGTCGATTTTTACAAAGCTCATCGGTTTGAAAAGCGAGGTGTGCTCTGATTGGCCAGCTATCCAGTGTGTTGTGATTGGCCGAATACCTCAAGCGTGTGACGAAAATGTTACGCCCCTTACCATATTGTGATGCCCTGTCCGGCCGGAGCATAACATAAAACCATGTCTGCATTTGTGATCGGAGAAATGACAAACAACAAGTGCTACTCTACACTGCCCAAAAAACTCGCGTTTGAATCGTCAGTGGCAAATTCTTTTTAATATAAAAAACGTACTTACAGTCTGTGAGTCAGAACAGCCGGCATTGTAGTCTACTCTCCCAGGATCAGGAAACAGTCCTCCATAAAATGCGCTGGACACATCTGAATATTTGGGGTGAACTGTTCTGGGACAGTGTTGTAAATACAACTTAACCACTGATTTCTACAACTTAACCGTGTCCTCTTTTGGAAGGCCAAACAAAGTAGTTTCGCTTTCACAACAAAAAAGCGTCACACACCGCGGCCTTGAGTGAGCGGAGGCCGGAGGCCTAGAGTGAGCCACGGCCTAGAGTATGCGGAGGCCGGCTTGAGTGAGCAGAGGTGGTAGGTGTGTTAGGTAGGCGTGGTTGACTCAGCTTTTATAAAGAATATCTCTTTGGATTTGAGACTTTAGACTTTTATTCCAAAACACGGTGTCAATTTTAACACTACTAAAGATCATATGGTCTCAATCTATCTAGTGTAAAAAGTACACTGTACATAGTGTTGAATTTCCAGTGTTAATATAGCACCTTGCAGTGTAGAAAAATTACACTGCGAATGTTACACTTGCTATTGTTGTTCAAGTTTTACACTATGGGGTATTTAACACCCCTGGGCCCGTATTCACAAAACATTTTATCTTACCACTAAATAGCAGTAAAAGTTTTTAGTTAAGAATTTTCTCTTAAAACCTATTCACAAAGCTGCTGAGACAAACTTTTTCTAAGGAATGGAGGGAAGTCTTAAGCTAAGAGTAAGGGCGGGGTTGACCTCATTGTTATGGATGATGTCAGCATACTTACTAACTGCACACAGTGATTGGCTGATAGGGGAGGGGTCTCTGTCAGAGATTTATTCAGAGAAATATTGTAGAGCACAATATTATGTTGCCATATTCAAATAACATTTACATTTGGTCATTTAGCAGACGCTTTTATCCAAAGCGACTTAAAAATGAGGACAAATAAAGGTTTTAAAATAAAAATGTTAATTGCCACATTCAAATAAAGATTTTAAAATGCAGGCTAAGTGTCACTAATTAAACAAGTATATATTGAGCTAATTGTCAGCCTCTTATATGTATGCTTCTCGTAAATAATTAGTCAATATAAAAATATAAAAAGCCTTTTAATTAACAGAGTAGAATAATCATGGCTGATATAAGACATGCAAACATAAAAGAAAACCAAACTGGACGCGAGAATAGCTATATATTAAGGATATAATCAAAGATTTGGAGTTGGGATAACCTCCAAACCAAAGGCGATACCTTTTTAAAAGCTCATTATCATCAAATGTTTCTAAAATGTTTTTGTTCCGGGGCAAATTGCTGGAAACAGCCATTTTAGAATAGTTCAGATTTGGTCTTAGTGACTTAGGAGTCCTCTTCACTACTCCTAACGTTCCACAGATTTAGGAGCTAGTTTTAATGCTAAAACGCTTTGTGAAATACTCTTAGAACAAAAATTTTGGAGTCCTAAATTTAGGACTGATACGCCCATTATTTTTAAGATTTTCTCCTAAATTGGCGAGTTATAAGCTACTTTTAGCCTTAAGATGTTTTGTGAATACGGGCCCTGGTGTTGTTTTAATTCCTTTAAGTGTTATTAATAAAGTATTCTTTTCTGTGCTAAAAAACCCCCCACTATTATATGGTGTACAAGATTAGACATAAAATCAAGAGTCTGCCGTCTCACTAAATGAGGACATAAATACATGAACTCATGAGCATTTTACAGTTTCATTTGAGTAAAACTAGCCTCATGTCTCACAGATATTTAAAGGTATTCACGGCAACCCGTCAAAATAAAAGTTCGGTTTAACTTGAAGACACTGTGCCAAAGATACTGTTCAGTAGAGTGTACATAATATTACTAATACTATTAGTGCTACTACTAAAATTATAAAACTTTAATTTTTAAGGAATAATCACAACATTTCTTCCATGTTTTATAGCTAATTTTAATAAATGTTTTAATAAAGTAAATATTTGAATAGTAAATCCCCTTTGTCAAAAAATAAAGTTTGATTAATTTTCAATAATTAAAAGATGAATGAAATGAATGTATTATGCCTTCATTTGATAACCAGAAAAATTTAAATATACAACTCAGAATTTATGAGGGGGAAAAAACATTTCATAAGGCTATTTTAAGAATAAATTTGAAGTTATTTTTATGCATTCAAATGATCAGACATGCTAAAACAGAGAATTTGGTAACAATAAAACATATGGTGAGAAAAAATAAAACATTTCATAGGGCCCTAAGCATGCAGTTTTTTTAACTTTTTTAATAAATTGATGTGAAATTGTACAAGTTTCATGATTTTAATTAATTAGACATGCTTTTTGATTAATAACATTTAGTTTAACCATTAAAAAGGAGTCCAGAAAAAGCAAAATCCAGACAAATTAAAACGTAAAAAGCTGAATTTGGAAAAAAACATAAAGCAGAGTTTGGGAAAAAATAAAACAGATTTCATACGGCCCTACACAGGTGAGCACACTCCCACCAGCGGACAGAGAGCATGCGTCCGAAAATATGTTGCGTCAAATATGGGTCAACTAACCCTTTAACTTTTTGCAGATTTAAATATTATAAAATAATTCGTAAATTCCAAGTGTGAACACAGGCAGATATTGTGTGGCCGACCTAGTGACACTTCCATTTTCATATTCATTTGTGTGTTTTAAAAATTGTTCTGCACATAGAATAACAAATGACACAGACTCAAAGTTCTAGCTTCATCTTCAGTATTCTGTTTCTTTCTCGAAGGGCTTCCATCACTCAGAGGAACAGTGTCATCAGACAGTGTGCAACCTTAGGAGAGGAGCTTTCTTCACTTGGCACTGCAGGAATTTGGGCCAATTCTATTGAAAAAGGATTTAAAAAAAACAATTCAGTAATTCAATTTAAATTAGGACTGTAAATATCATAAAATAATTCTGATTACCCCCAATTTTGAGTATGCTGAGAGCTGTCTATAATACATGGGTGTCAAATCTCAAAATTATTTATATTCACATCCTTCATTCTAGGGTCAATTAAATGACTGTTAAAGTTAATAGCCACAAAACCTGAGTAACATGAGTAATAAGGCATCTTAAAATGGAATAGAATAGATTTCACACTAGAATAGATTTTAAGACATGTTTACAATTCATCTTACTATTAATTTATCCATGTTATTTATAATGTGAATAGAAAATACAGACAGATGCGGGCATATCGTTCTCCATTAAAACCTAACTTTGTATATCTGGAAACATTTAGGACATTAATAACTTTTAGCACTGCAAATAGTACACTGCTGATTTTGCTGTGTTAGTAAAAGTTTGTCTCAGCAGCTTTGTGAATAGGTTTTAAGAGAAAACTCTTAGTTAAAAACTTTTACCTCTATTTTGGAGGTGTTAAGATAAATTGTTTTGTGAATACGGGCCCTGATTCAGATAACCAGCTTGTTAGAAGAGAGCTCCATGCATGAACTGTGTTCCAATTGACATTGTCCCTACACAGTGTTCATTGCTCCCTACTCCCTGAACACAGGAAATCCGTTGAAGTTTACCTCACTTCGGAACATTCATTCACGAATTTGCGCAACGCCACTGCCTGCAGCGTCTTCACACACACAAACGACTCGCACACTTTAATGCCCTTTGAATGCAATCAAAGCCCTTGGAAATGGAATAATGGCAGAATATCCTGTGAAGTCCACTTCACAGGGCATTTAGGGTCGAATGGAACAAATGTCTGAAGTGATAAGAGAAGCATACAAAATGTGCAGAGCAGTTGTATGAATTGAGAACCACTGTTTTAGAGCATAACTGTGGCCATTTTTACAGGCCTGGAAAAATACTTTTCATTGATTCATTCCTGATATTTCAATCAATGAATGAATTTAAACTTAAGTTTCTCAATAGCTTTCTTCCAAATTAATATACAGTATATGTATATATAAATTAACTTATTATTTTAAGTATGTATTCCTGGTCAGCATATGACTTCATGACAATTTATGCAGAATGTTTGGCATTAAAGACACACACTGCATCAAACAGGAAGATGAACAGAATTCTGTTTAGAAATAGATGAGCTCTGAAAACCCAGATGTAAACACACAGACACAGACACGCGCGCACACACACATACACACTCTCTCTCTCTCTGTCAATAATTTGGATGTTAGATTTGGGTCAAACGATTGTGTGCCTCAGTAAGTCACAAAATAATAAGCGCTGCCAGGAGTCAAAGTATATACACTGAGTGAAGTATATCTGGTCAGCAAACCTGCATCATGGCACACAGAGGTGGAGATCAGACAGTGAACTTATATAGCTGGATATCAGAAAGCAGAATCAGACTAGGCTGCAGATCAGAGGGAAATCAAGGTGAAGACAAGACAATGAAATCAGATGAGACCGTGAAATTAGACAGAGGTGGGGATCAGACTTAAGTGGAAATAAGCAAGTGAAATCAGACTTGGGTTGACAGTAAAGTCAAACTGAACAGGAAATCAGACATTAAAATCAGCCTGATTTGGAAATTAGATGGTAAAATCAGACTGCAGACAGTGAACTTATATAGCTGGATGTCAGACTGGGGTGTAGATCAGAGTTAGATATCAGACCAAGGTGAAGACACTGAAAAGGTGAAGACACTGAAAGACTCATGTGGCGATCACACAGTGAAATCAGACTCAGGTGGCGATCACACAGTGAAATCAGACTCAGGTGGGGATCACACAATGAAATCAGACTTATGTGGAAATAAGGGAGTGAAATCAGACTGTCAGACAGTGTAATTAGAATGAGGGGGATGTCAGACAGTGAAGTTAAACTGTTGCTATGGCAACAGAGAGAACAAATCTGGCAGTAGATCGCTGGTACGAACTACAGGTGGTTCTTACCGACACTGCTCCTCTCTTCTGTTCTCCCTCTCTATCATACTTATGTGTAGTGTTTCAATATGAGATTTCCTCCCTACTCCAGTCTGATTCAAAAGTAGTGAAAATACTGAAGCTGAAAATGCCCTGACAAATCAGACAAAGACCAGTAGATCAGTTTTAGTGGCATTTCTTAGAGAGCTCACATCGGGGAAGTCGGGGCCTAATGGTTAGCGAGTCAGACTCGTAACACAAAGGTTGTGAGTTCGAGTCTCAGGTCCGGCAAGAATTGTAGGTGGGGGGAGTGAATGTACAGTGCTCTCTTCCACCTTCAATACCATGACTGAGGTGCCCTTGAGCAAAGCACCGAACCCCCAACTGCTCCCTGGGCGCCGCAGCATAAATGGCTGCCCACTGCTCCGGGTGTGTGTTCACGGTGTGTGTGTTCACTGCTGTGTGTGCACTTAGGATGGGATAAATGCAGAGCACTAATTCCTAGTATGGGTTACTAGTATTGGAAAGTGACCACATTTCACTTTCACTCATTTTAAGTGGCATCTGCCTCTAAATCATTTAATCAGATCATTAAAAGCTGTTAATGCAATCTTACTTCACAGGACAGTGCTGTGAGCTCTTGGGGTGGTTTGGCTGATGGCCGCTTTAGTGATGTCCATGCACGTGACAGAGTTCAGTTAAAAAAAAAAAACCTCTAACTGCACTAATCAAAGCCTTCAGCCTGCACAAGAGTGGAGCAGACAGATAACGCTGCACGGTCACATCCATGTGCTGCAGTAATCACTGTTTATGAGCTTTAAAGACTAAACCCATAAAAAGAAACATGCAGCGACATATTAAACAGCCTTGTTAAAATCCTTAGCACAGCACTTCCATGTGAAGGGGTCTGTAATTCTGTAATTGTTTTAGAAATAATATTTTCAATAGCAGGAGTCGGAGCATGAATTAATGATGGTTCAGTCTATTGACTGCAGAAGAGAAGAGATTATCTTACCTGAATGCCTTTCAAGTGTACTGAATCCCGTTCTGTACAGACTATTTACTCGTGTTTTGTTTTGGCACCTGCAAATGCTTTTTGAGAATACAAAAGAACTAAACTGAAAGATACCTTCGAATCTAATATTTTGTTTTTACAAAAAAAGAAAAAGAAAACAAGAGACACTCTAACATAACATTATCTGAAGAGGTGTAAATCATCCTATGCTGCTTCTCTCTCTGTCTGTCTCACTCACACACACATGCAAACACACACACATAACGAGTTAAACATGGAGATGTCGATTTCTGAACATTTCCATGGGTGGACAGAGACATTAGGCATTATACTGTCACTTGAACGGCAATTCTTCTAAGAGTTTCCTATGACATTTGGCTGTTAAAATCTAAACAGCATGTCAGAAAGCTAGTGAACTTTGTGCTGTGTTTTAAAAGTGAGGGTAATTTAACAACCTCTTAGACATTATCACTGAAATTATGAGACACCAGGGCTAGTGGTCCCACATTTTACTCCAGTGGATATTTCACAGGGTACATGTTTATTTTCAGTGCTGGGTAGTAATTGATTACATGTAATCTGGATTACGTAATCAGATTCCAAAAACTGATTACTTGTAAATATATTTATATTACATTATACAATTATAATGGATTATATTTATATTGAATTATAAAATACTCATTATCAGACTGCAGACTACTTTTTTATGGTTTAAAAGTTGTGTCGTGTATCCCAGCCTTTAGGTAAAAAGTAATCTAAAATGCAGTCTGAATACATAAAGCTTGGGACACACTACAGGACTGAAACATAAGACTGAACACACTTAAAGACTGTTTCCAACGACTGGAGCAGAAAAAACACACACAGTCTAAAATCATTTAACATGCAATGCTACACTGTGGAATAAAAAAACATCACAACAAGATATGTAATCAATAAAAATATTTTGACAAAAGTACAAAATTAACGATGAAAGATGTTTGACAGTGGGCACATCTCCACTGCATAGCAGCATATATAATTGCTGGTGTCAGTCGCAAATATTAAACATGTCTAAAAAATAATCTTTGTGAAAAGAACTGGCAACGACTTGTTTTTTTTAATTCTAAGATTATAATCTTTAGACACCACACACTATATGACTTTTTCTGCTGACTGCAAACAGCGACTGAGCCCAACTAAAACCGACCCGGTCAGACTGGGCATGATGCGTCCTCAAGACCAAATTACATTCATAATCGGCATAACAATCGTGTAGTGTGTTCTCGGTTTAAGATGAGTAATCTACTTTACTAACTACAATTTTCATCATGTAATCTGTAATCAGGTACACGGACGAGCCCCCAGAGTTGTTTGATTCATTCTTTGGAAGTTTATTTTATCAGTTATTTATTCTGTCAGTAGCCTAACCCCAGCAGTGACAGTTACTTTCATATTTGGTATCCGAAATCTTGGTATAATTTCTTTACATAAAACTTTAACCATTGTTTTCATACCCTCCGCTGAACATGGGAAAGCTTCTGGCCACTTTGTAAATCTGACAATGATCACTAACATATATTTACAATTTTGGACAGGTTGGCATGTGTGTTAAAATGTTGCAATATGGCAAGCCGTCACTCGCATCCGGTGTAGACACAGTGTAAGGCTGAATGACTTATTGATTAATGGATGGTGGTCTTTGTGCAGATTGAACATGAGTCCAAACCAATTTAGTTGTCTTGTAGACATCTGCTATGCAATAGGCCTATAAGGCATTGATAGCTTGTGCTGTCTTTGCTGCACTAGCGTGTGACAGACCATGATAATGACACACGAGTGTCAATTTTGGCCAGGCTATTTTCCCTTCAGGGTCCCTAATAATT